GCTGAACAAAATGCCTAAAAGATGCCAAGGATGCCAAGTACTTGGACAGAACTCAAAGCCGTCCAGCACCTATAAGCATCAGGAAGAACTGGTTAGACCAGGAATGATGTAAAACAACCTTAAAATGTAGTAGTTCTGGAAGAAATTCAAGTACTCATGCTTTGGACCAACAAGCCAAAGTTTTAAGAGTCAGAAGAGAGCATTTTCCCAGCACCCGAACTTGACTGCAATGCTGAACTGAACTGGAGTGAGCTTTTGTCTCCGCTGCTGACTGTGCTAGAGAGATGGTAACCTTTGTCAGCTGGGAGTATCGTAAATCACTGCAGCAAGGTTTGCCAGGAGAAATCTGCCAAAGCCAGAAAACAACTACGTATCTCTAGAGCGTTCCTGTGACGTGTTTCCCAGCTGGACTATGTCCTCCTGGACCAGCTACGACAGTGCGGGTGGTGCTTGCTGCTTCCCCTCCCAAGACCAAGGGGCAGCCAGGGGTACTCTGCTGTGAGCCACTGCTTCAAAGATGACCAGACACGGAGCAGGAAAGTTGTTTGCTTTCCATATGTTTTGCATTAATTTCCCATGCAAACTTTTATAATTATCAAAGCAAATGGGCTTTCAATGGGGGAGTTCTCTCAGTCACGTCAGCCTACCTCAAAGAAGGCCACACCACCAGCTTTGCACTGTCACCCAGCGCAACTTAGATTCTACCTTATTAAGCCAGCACACATCAAAATACATGTATCTACTCCTCAGAACTCAGCGATTTTGTTTCTATCGCAAAGATAAAAATAAATCTACATATATACCAATACTCAAACTACTTTCCACATTAATTTACTGAGAAGGCACTTATTCCCCACTGCTTATTAGCATTAGGGATGCTCTAATTAATGCACATAATCTCAGGAGTGATGGAGAAAAGTGTACCAGGGGAGTTATCAACTTTAAGGTTTGTGCAGCTGAGGACAGCTGCTGTTATACCAGGATGGGCAGGAGGAACTAGAGATACAGCTCAGCCCCAAACCAAAGGCAGCTACTGTACATTACAAAGGAAAATACACAAGGGGTCAAGCCCATTTCATTTTTAAAGTGGGGACATGTACCTCCTGCAGATAACTGTACTCAGTCTGAAGGCATGGAAAGGATGGCTTAAGAGTGAGCCTTTCTAGGGCTAAGACACTAAGTCTGGGCTTAAAGCAGCAGACAGCAACTCCCTAAGGGGCAGCGATTTAGTAGCCGTACACAAAGCAGCAAAGGCTTTCTTGGTCCCAGCGGAGGGGAATGAGCACTCCCAAATCCACTGTCAGCTCTTTGTTTGAAGATCAGGAGTGAGACTAAACGATTGAATAGGTCACAGATCCCGATTCCTCCCAACTTGCCCCATTTATGATCTGCAGAGAGATGCAGGTGAACATAAGACCTTTTCACATGGTCTTGCTTCTGTGTAAAATGGGATTTCATTCTCCACGACACACAAGGCAGCTCCTTTCACCAACATTAGCTGTTCTTTAACAAAGCACCTTTGTGTTTCAAGCACTGTTCACCTCAAGGAATGAAGAGCATCCCCTCACCCCTGTGAAACAGGGCAGTAGCAGGGTCCGTGCCACCATTGAGAAGGGCCCTATGAGGGGAAGGGAAGTGGCTGCAGCCAGCCTGGGGAAGGACAGGGAAGAGAAACCTCGGGACTAGGACTCACTCTCATAGCTCATTGACTTCCCAGATGAATCCCGCAATCCCGACTATTTCTTCCCCACCCCCTTTCATCCAACACTCAGGCCCAATTCCCCAGAGGAGGGAAGGCTCAGATCTGCATGGCGCAAGCCTCATCATCAAAAGCCAGCTGAGCAAAACGAATTTACTGACCATGGCAAAACACAACAAGGAGGGCTGGAAACACCAATGGCTACTGCCTACCTTTTACCCCTCTGTGCAGCGACACTGCTGGCACCAAGAGAGTTTCAGGGACATGTAAACCCCCAGCTCAGGGTAAATTTTGGGCTGACAGTCAAGCAAAGACTTGCAGTGTTCTCCAGCATTGGCAGGAGGAGGGAAAACGTGTCTCTGCTACAGCGTCTGCCAGCCTAGCCCCCGTGCTTCTCCCTTCCTTTTGTCAGCCACTGATAGGAGGGTTGCTCATTGCACGGTCCACAGGGGAGACCTGTTGGCCATCCAAGGAGCGGCGGAGGCACAGGCAACGGAGACAGCTGTTTGTTCGCCTCGCCAGAGAGCAGATCTGAACAAAAAGCTGGGAGTGGAAAATGGGGCTGGGAGTGGTAAAAGGGTTTATTTCTGTTTGTATGGGGAAAACAAGGAGGGGAAAAAAAAAATTCTAATCAGAAGCCTTCAGGGGAAAAAAGACAAAAAGCCCAAACCCAAGCACAGGATCTAGATCTGAAAGACAGAAGAGAGCGCAGTATGGGAAGGACACATTTTTAATTGGAAAAATTATCAAGAACCTTGTGTATATTGATCCAATTTGCTGATTAGCCATCACTGATCCCACCATCTCTCCACACAGCACTGCTCCACCATGAATTAAGCATTTGCATTTTGATATGTAAAAAAAAAAAATAATAAACTTACCTTAGGGAAGGAAAAACATATTCTACAAAATTCTTTGCCAGACCCCAAGATATCTTGAGGTCCTCTGTCTCACCCAAAATACTTTCATGTACAGAAAGAGTCTACTTGGATAATTTTGGGGAACTGATTTTCTTCTGACAAAGTTGGAATGAGTCCAAAGATTAAGAGTTAGAGGCTATGAAAATCCTTATTGTAAAGACAAGATATCTCCATGTAAATTGAGATACGTCTTCAGCATTGCTAGGAGAAATTAAAAGAAATCAGGCACAGAAACATTCCACCAAGCATCAGGAGCAGTTTCCTGATAGCAGGATGCATTATCAAGTGGAAGAAGTCTCCCTCAGGGTAGCACTGAAAGTACAAGCTCTGAATTACTTTAAAACTCCAGAGTGTATGCCTAGTTGAGAAAAGTCTTAAACACAATAAGCGCTCACTGTCCTCTAGGGAAGGGAAAGTGATGTCTGCTTTAGTGCTAGTCAGCTCCGATTTCTGGAATTAGTCCTCTCTACCTACTTTTGAGCTCCTCGCTTTGGACAACAACGCTACTGCACGATTAAATCACGATTGCTTAAGAACAAGTGCATTTTCATACAGAAGAAACACCCAGGAATATCCAAGTGCCTGGTCAGTCACAACCGCTAGCCCTGAGAGCCCAGTCTTGCTGGGCACTGAGAACAGCATCGAAGGAAACAAAGTGTGTGAGCATACTCATTAAAAAACACGTTTATTATACGAGCGCCTAGAGATCAATCGAGACCAAGGTACCATCGTACAAAGCACTGTTTGGAGTGATCAGCCATCCCTGCCTTGGAGAGCTTACAGTCTAAACAGCAGTGAGTTAATTCCCTGTCCTGTCTGAGGGCACAATGTCTTTCTTTTGACCAGCTGTAAAAAGAATTAAAAGTTTCAATGCGAGTCAAAAATCAAATCAGATGTCCTGGTTTCTCCCGAGACCAAAACATATTGCAACACCCAGTGGTTTTGGTCCTTTTGGCAGCAACTAAGACAAAACAGGCAATGGGTTAGTTTGTAAGTGGAAGTTTTTTTTAATTAAATGGAACTATTTATATATATACAAAACCCAGAAAATATTGCACCATTAAAAAAAGCACATTTTACATCTAATCACCTGTTAAACACACCTTGCCCTCCCTGCATTGTAGTATACACAGATTCACAGCAACTGTTGGACATTAAGAAGCAACCTGTGCTGTCAGACACCATGGAAATCTGCTGGTCCACATACATCCCAGAGAAAATACCTTTACCCTTTCCACCCTTGCCTTCATTTAGGGAACACATTCATCACATTGTCGTCTCAGTGGCATTCAGGACCAATCCTCTCAAGTTGCTCAGAAGTAAGGACAAATTAAAAAGAAAGGCTTTGGGAACTTCTCAGTCACAGTTTCATTAGGGCTTGGCCGGCACGGTTTTCTGGGAAAGTCTCTTACATTTTAGGGCTCAGTCCTCAGAACCCGAGCACAGAAGCTCTGGAGAGAACCATTTGCATCCCTATCCAGAGAGAGGGGCATTCCAGTGTAGTTTTATCTTTGACAACTGTAATCCAAGGGCTAAGACTTCTCAAGCCCCAAGAGCATCTTCAGTAAGCCACGGCCCCAGGGTCCCGCGGGATGCTAAAAAGTACATCCGCTTTGGCGTTGATAAAATACGTGGCGAGGAGAGAGAAGATCAGAATGGCAATGCCCACAACCAAAGTGATTATCTAGGAAGGGATGAGAAACACTTAGCATTGTTGTTACAAACACAGACCTGCAGCACCTCACAGAATTTGCATCAAATGGGGGCCTCTGTCAGAAAGCTACAGAGACCAGCTCACTATGAGGCACTATGTACACTGAAATAAAAAGATACTCCAAGGACCTTACAGACTTGGACAAAAGCAACTGCCAGATAGCATCAGGTCAGCTTTCAATGTAGTTACCAACAGTGCACACAAACCGATGTTTAAGAGAAAAGGTAAGAAAGCTGTATTACAGATAAAGAACGTATCATGTTTCAGAGCGGTCGACGCAGTTCGCAAAGATTTTTAGCAAGCATTTCATGTAACACTTCAGCTATTCCTGCACGAACTGTCATCTCCTCCAGCAAGGAACTGTAAATGCCTTCAACAAGCACAGTTGCTGGCAGAATCAACATCTGCCTTTGCATAACGGAGATTACCTCCTGCTCAGCACCTTTGTTGAAGCCTAAGTGCCAGACCAGTCTAAAGCCTCATTAGATTCCTTCCTGTCAACCCTTCTCCTTGCACGGAAGGACTGCCGTTCCCAGTCTCCCCTGGATATCTCAACAGTTCCCACGCAGTGGCCAGACACCGACGTGCCACTACAACTCTCTCAGTACATTTTCTATTGGGTCAACACTTCAGGGATGGCTGGGCTCAGACTGTGCATCTCCAGGGCACCAGGATCTACTGGGCTGTAACAGGCCGAGAGACACAGGCAGGGCATTGTGCTTGCCTGAGTGTTAAAAAGGCCCAGTGCCACATAAATAAATTGCTCAGATTTCAAATAACCATCCGAGAGATGCAACAATTGCCTGGGCTTGCATGGCCTTTGGGTGGCTTACTGCTAGCACATGATGACGACAGCGCTGTGGCTCCTGAGTCTGTCCTGACAGGGTATGACATCATTAACAGCCAACCAGAGGGCATCAAAACAGGCACAGAGTCCCAAAGTGACTGTACGCTTAACCCTTATTCTGCTGGCACTTAAGCCACATCACAGCTGGCTAAGGCCTGCTTAGAATCTGAGACACTGAATCAACAGCAGCTTTTGTGAAGGTTTGTGCAAGTTGTTTTGGCGCTGTCGAGAGGGGATTCGAACTCCTGGAAGGAAGATCAGGGTTGCACATCAGGCAAAACACCTTAATAGCCAGGTTCACTGGCTTGGCTTCCTGTGCTCGGGGAAGGGGTTAAGACTCCTGTCACTTCTATCTTTTATTCACACAGCTCAGCCTGCTCATGGGACTCTTGATTATTCTGCACTGTCTAGGCCTCAGCGACTAGGTTATTAACCCACAAATGGCTGGAGGTGGTAGGGTTATCACCAGTGGCGCAGTTTTGGTTACCTCATTTTCAGGAATCAAAGCCTGGCTGTTCTTAACTGGGGAGCTCACACAGGATGATGGCACAAGAACTTGTAAAAAACTCTGAACTGCTTCTCCAGCTGTCAGGAGACGTTATTCAAAGCTAGCCACATTTTTTTTCTCTACTTTTTCAGAGCTGTACAAAAACTCACCTCTAGCTCCTTGCTGGCTACCAGAAATATTCGGGCACGGATCTCTTTCCACCTACTCTCTGTCCATGTGGAGTACTCTGTAGATCCCCATTGTCTCAGCTCAAAGGCAGGAGAGAGTGCTTTGCTTAGGTGAACAGTTGACCGAACACAGTAAGGGACTCGTGATGTTGAGTTAGGGTCCAGGGAACCCTGCACCCAGGCATATTCATACATCTGCAAAGAAAATGGGAGAGTAAAGAGACAGCAAAAAAACATGAACAAATAACCAGACTATCTCCTTGTTCTGGCACCTTATCCGTGTCACTGGAGAGAGAGAGGGGCTTTACGGACTGTTCTCACTGTAAGGGGATCCTTTTGCCCACTTCTCCCCTGCCCTGGGGCATTAAGATGCCTCCTTGTTGGGAGGAGTTTCTCAGTTCTCCCATGTATTAGAAGCAATAGAAAGCATTCCTAACTAGCTTTCCTCAAAAGCAGAAAACAGCAAATTGGACAGCAGATCTATCCTTACCTATCATCTCACTCTAATGGATACTTACTTCTTTCTCACTGCTGGGTGTTTTTTCAGGGTTCAGACACTCTTCCTTGGTGAGGTTAACAACAGTGCCCGTGAGGTTGGCCAGGACATACTGGACAAGATAGGTAGTGTTCACAGGGCTGGAAACGGCGACGTAATGTTGGGGAACATCACCTGGAACAGTCAGAGAAATGAGATTGGCGGGGAGATGGCCAGAAGCAGACAATGTTAGTACGGCGCTTTAGAAAGCTGCCGGGTAACATATGGGGTCAAACCCATTCTTGTGTTGTTCTTCCCTATGTTGCTCTTACCCAAAATTCCTTTTATGTCTGGTTTAATGATGGACTGAAACCAGGAATTGTTCATTTTAATCAGAAACCCATACAGCATTCGAGAGACCTGGGAAGAGATGGAAATTGGTTTATACAAAGAGGAGAGAATATAGCATTTAACAGCTATACCTCTGAAGAATTATTTGGCTGACAGATGTTTCCCACTACAGGGGCCACCAGCACAGCAAACGAGGGACTATATGTCACAACTGTCTAATTCAGGACTGAGCTGTGAAAATTGGATTTGATTCCAGTTCCACTGACTCTTTAGCTGATCCTTGTGGCACACATTGCCATTTCACCTCAGCTTCCTCTTCTGCTTTGGGGAACGAGGATTAAGGAGCTCTGTTTTGTAGAGGGCTCCTGAAGCTTAGTGTCTGCCTTGAGATTGAAAGGCAAGGAACTAGGGAAAGGTGAAAGGTTTTTCATTCAGCTGTGGCGGGGAAAGAGAGAAGGGGAGAGGCAAAGCTCTCATGGAGACAGACAGGACAGCATGCTGTGTAAACACATATAAACAGAGACAGAAGGGAAGTACGTGAGGGCTCATCAAAGATGCCAGGGACTCAGTTCCATCTGTTCGTACCGTTTTTGGATCTGCCTGAATAGCAGAGGTGTTGTTGGCTCCCCCCGCAAGCCGGTAGAGAGCACGGGCGACCACTGTGGCAACTTCTGCCAGGGACTGCAAAGGAAGAGTGCTCTGTGTTAATGAAGATAGGCAGATCCAGAAAAACAAGCAAGGAGAGCAAGCCAGAATCTAAACATCCACCAAAACACTTCCGTCGTGCTAGCATTTGAGTGCCTATTGTCTTTGTCACTGTACAAAGCGCTCCCACCTTCTTTCTGCCCTTTTTGGAAACAGCTTTCCCCCTCTCCCCGTGACCATGCTTCTATCTGCCCCTACACAGGGCCCCATCCACCCCAGAAAATGCAAGAGTAGGAACCTTGGCTGTGTCTGTAACATACTCCAAGGTTTCCTCAGGGCTAAGCCCCTCGGGGTATTGCATCCGGATGTTCTCTGGAGTGTCGTACATGCTCTGGTAGTATCTGAAAAGAAGAAGGCAAACAGAGGTTTGGGAGGGGCAGAAAGAAACCACAGGGCATGGAATTCAATTCAAAGTGTGCCTAAAGCAAACAGTGGGAGCAGTCTCCTGGGAACAGAGATACAGCCCTGCCAAAGCACTGCCCTGCCACACGCTCCTTAAACCATTTAATGAGGCTTTATAATTAACTTGGCCCTTCCACAGCGTCTCCCATCTGAGGATCTCCACACAATTTACAAGCTGTGATTAGCTTTCAGGTGGGCGACAGCCCAATCTATTAAATGGGTAGAGAAACTGAGGCAAGTACAACCCAAGCAGAAGGTCTCCTGGGAAGAGGGCTTTTGATACAAGTTGTGCCAGTGGATTTTATTAATGCTTTATCTTGAAGGCGGTGAGGAATTCCAAGTGAACTCTATGACAGATTTATACCAAGGCATCTGCAGCACACGTAGCTGAACTGGGAATTGGGCTGAAGGCCCACTGCCTGGTCTATGCACCTGACATTCCCAACCAACCTGGGACTGATCCCCTCCATCTAAAGATGGGTCACGCAGTAGTGAGTTGTGCTTTCCTCCACCCCAGCTCTTCTTACCCCTTTAGAGCAGTGCAGATTTAGAGGTGAAAGGGAAACTAATTCCCCTTGATTGCTACAGAGATTCTCAGAAACAGCAAAGGATAGAAGATGAAGAGACAATTTGAAGAGTTTAGGGAAAAGGGGAGACACATGTCTGTCCTCTACCCCACATTTCTACTTCCAGCGTTGAAAAGGAGCAGGGTATCCCCAAGGAACATGTAGTAAGGTCATGTGGGGTGAATGAAAGTGCCCTTTCCATTGCCTGGGGCTTTCTGCCATCAAAAATAGAAAGCTATATTAACAAAAAAAAAAAAAAAAAAAAAAGAAGAAGAAAGAAGAAAGAAAATCAGACCAAAAAAAAAAAAAATTAAAAAAAAAAAAAAAAAAAAAAAAAGGCAGCTAGCTTCTGGAAGAACAGATGAGGCTTAGGCACGCTCAGTTGCCATTTGCTCACCTCTGGCTTCCAGCCAGCTGTGGGGAACATTTTCTGTACAAAACTGGATTTCTTTCGGTTGTCAGAATAATTATGTTGCGCTTGTTCAATTACATGGCACACGTTTGCTCCTCTGCTCCCCCCAGAATGCCCCTCTACACGTATGTTAGCCAGCACACCCCCGGCAGAGGCGTTGCAGGAGCTCAGATGCCCTCTGCCGGCTCCGCTGCCTTTGGCCATGGGCCAGCCCGTGCCCACTGACCCCGGAGAAGTACCTGTTCTGGAAGGCAGTCCTGTGGTCAGTTATGACCACTCCAGGGATGTGCCGGGCCCGAAGGAAGCGCTGGAAGGAAGATGGAGGAAGAGGCTGCGAAAATCCAGCTTCTTGCAAAGTCACATTTGCTCCCATGCTGCTATTACTCAGAATATCTAGCAAGTTTCTAACCTGAAAGAAGAGAAAAAGGCACTGTTTTGCTGTTCTTTTGGATGTGTGGTTTCTCTGTAAAGGTTAACATCTTGATTGTCTGCAGCGTGCTGAAGATCCCAAAGCATTTTAGAGTTAGATGAACACCTACAGATTGCTTTCTATTACCTGCACTTCAACAGATTCATTCATCCGAGACACGGGGTCTGTATGCATCCATAAAATTGAGTCATTCCTTAGAGCCACCTTCAAGAAAAAAAGCAAACAACGTAAGTACATGATTGGACATCATGTACTTGCAGAGCAGTGAAGTCTAGTCCAAGGAAAAATCAAAACCAGTGAAAGGCTGGCTGGAAAAACCACAGGTAAATTATCACAGAGAAACAGGGAACAAAAAGGTCCCCTAACTTATCCCACACCTGATTCAATTCCACAAATGAATGAATATTGTCCAAGCGGAGAGGAAACTTGTCTTTTTCCATATCATACACCATTCGTGAACTGCCAATGTAATCAAAGGTCTCCTGCAACAGAAAAAAAAACAAACACACACGAATCACATATGGATAGCTGCCTGGCACAACTAACAGCAATATTTGAGAAGCTGAGGTGGAACAAAACCCAGAGTTTGGGGGCCAACTACTGCACCAAGGACTTCTGAAGGTGCGCATAGCCTGGCGCACACCAGAAGACCAAAGTAAATATTACATTGTGCCTGGCTCCGAAGACAAAGGTATTGAAGGAAGGGATGGAGCAAAGGACAGAAATGAAGCCAAAGAGAAAAAAAAAAACCAAACAGGGGACAGCTATTGAATTCCACAAGCAAGGAAGGCACAGAGGCAAAGTCAGACTTAAGTGAGCACCTATATCTAGCAAGATACTGTTACTGTGAGGAACAGCAGAGACGCATTAATACAGCCTTTACTCTGGCATAAGTAATCCTCTTTGGTTTCTGATAGTGAGGACAGCAAGTCAGGGAAAAGGGCAATTCTTCATTCCAGGAATTAAACGTATGCAGGTTTCCTGAAATGAGGGTGTCTGTTTCCCTGGAAAAAAGGGAGGGAAGGCTAGGTGACAGAAATGAGTTTGTCAAGGGAGCTGCAAGAAGCTGAGCACCTCCCGGCGAAGAATAGGTGCCCCTAAGAAGAGAATCTCCATGTCAGAGAAGGCAATGAAGTCAGCCAGCCACCAGACTTCCCCCTTGACTAATTTACAGCCAAGTCTTATCATTCCTCCTACATCCTGGGAGCACAACAGAGAATGTCCGCTCCATAGCGCTGTACACCCATCTGCCCCAGGGAAATTCTGACTAGGGATGTAAGTGCTGAGGAGGGTGAATGAAGGGAATCACATGGCTGCAGCATGGGGCTGTGGAAGCCTCACAAAGCTGCACAAAAGAAGCCATCAGTCTAGATGCCTTGAGGGGAACATCAGCTGTTGGCCATCAGTCCCTCCTCCACAAGCTTGTTCTGCTTTTCTACAGCTGCCAAATCCAGTGCTGGGCTCTCAGAAATGAGCTACATTTTGCTGCTGTCAACACATATATATTTTTAATCTAGCCTTTTCTGGGCTTCATTTCAGAACTTAAAGCTTGGCCATTGCAGTTCATCCTGAACAGGGTGAGGCAAAAAACAGACATACAGGCACACTGGGAAGAGACAGGAGGGAAAGCAAAGTTTGACTCATTCATCCAGAATGAACTGTGGGGCAGAATATGCGTTGCCCCAGTGGAAGCTCCATCTGCTGTTGTTATCCCAGGGCAATTAAGATCCTGTTCGCACTGGGGGAGCAGAGAGAACCACAGTGTCGGGATGCAGACAAATGACTCCATACAAAGAGTAGGGAAAAAGTTCATTTGCAGGGAGCCAAGGGCTTATTTGCTATCTTAGAATAAGCCAAATGGTGGGGCGATGCCTCTGCTCTTACCCCTTGGAAGAAGGTGAACATTATATTCCTCTGCAGCAAATGGACATCTGACACTTTACGAAGGGCTTCAGCAGCAGCCAAGTGGGTCACAAAAGAAGAGACAGCACTCTCTGCCCCAGGTGCAATGTTCCAGAAGAAGGAATGGCTGTCAATCTGTGAGTATGAACAGGAGGTGTAAGAAATGCGCACACAGACAGAGGAATACTGTATTGGGAAAGCACATCTATCACCTTGCTCCTGTCCCACTCATCCTACCGATAAGGGTAGGACCAAAACATCCCGCCTAATGAAACTTAAAATACCAATTGCATTGCTGTGGCAGTCCTGAGGCCTCAGAGCCCTGCCACCGCCTCCCAATATAGATGAGACAGCCATGCTGTCTCCTTCTCTGCAACGCTTTTTAAGGATGTGAAATATCTTAGGAAAGCATAAGAGACATGCTAACTATTTCTATTTGTCTGGTTCCATCAGTGAAGAAAATAGTGAAAAAAGTCTCCCATAACAAAACAAAGAAACAAAATGAAGATGTCCTTATACTGAAACAATAGGTAAACCCACCAACTAAAAGGCTTATACCTGCAGAAACACAATAGCCAGTCAGATCTAAAAGAAGGTTTGGAACATGAGAATAAATGAAACTATGTAAGAGGAATATATTCCCATAAGACTCTAGGCCCACATCTTCCCAGAATCCTTCCCGTCCATGCTCTACAAAGCAAGATTAAGAGGTACCTACTCGTGTAGCCACAATAATAACTTCCTTCTCAGGATTGACTTTTCCAGAGGAATTGATAGGTTGCAAGGTGCTCCACACATTGTAATCAAGAAGAGGATCACATACAACCTCTAGGAAGCAGAAACAGCATCGCTTGAGTTGAGACTACAACAATGACAAGTGACGAATGAGCTTTCTGGTCAGCTGTAGCTCACCAGTGGTTCTCAGCAGGAACGTCACTGGCAAAACATTCACCAGGACCAGGATTTCAATTCAGGTACACACAGTCTAATGGAGCAGTAATCTCAGAGTCACTCTTGATGATCTATGTAGCAGGTATTAGGTACCTTTCTCAGCCAGCATCTTTTCTACATACTATTTTCTAAACTGATGACAAACATAGCCCAGAATTCCTTACCACTTCACTAGTTTATTTTGAAAAGGCTCAGCTGGCAAGTAAGCCTTTAGGGAAACTCTAAAATTTTCCTTCTTTTGCACAACTGTATTGCACTGGGATTTTTAGCACCACCATTATCCCATGTCCATATTCCCATGACAAGGAAAGAGGAAGCTGCTCACCTGGATTAATGCTGAAGGTGCTTTGGAGGGAGCTGCGTCTCATGCAGGTAACAGTGCTGGTGACAGCATGCATGTGGGAAAAAAGCTGCATGGCACACAGGGGGTACTCAGGGCCAGATCCATCACGAGGGACATTATGGTCTTGATAACACTGGATGGAAATAAAATTCATTACAAAACAGCCTTTCCATAACAGCGTTGTGTACTGCATATAAAATTGGACCATATATTTTTACTGTAGATTTCAACGTCTAAGTTGAGAGAAAACAAAACTTCTGCCCCCCTTCCTGAACTGTGCAGCAGTTCCCCTCTTCTACTTATTGAAGAAGTGAAGTACCTGCTTAATAACTTGTGTCTCATTGGCATCTTCAAGGAGAAAAATAGGGAAGTCAAAATCCTCATATGAAAGCCCACTCCCCACAGGATTCCACACAGTCTTATTGCAGTGTGCAAACTGAGGGCCATAATCTTTGGAATAGACACCTGGAAAAAAGAAAAAAAAAAAAAAGAGGCAAATCTGAGCCTGCAAGAGAATAACAGACTGCAGGAGAGGTAGGACCTGCTGAGAAAATATCAGCAGATACAGAATGAGCACCATTATGGGCTGAGGAACCAGCTGACAAAAGCTTGGAGAGATGGAGTTGGTCACTGCATGAGGCAGAGTGGCAGAGACAGAGTGCTGTGCCACACAGAGAGAATGAGAAACATGCATGCTCAAAGCCATCACATGCCAGGAGGCTGGCACGAGCACTCAGTGAGCATTTATCACATGCTGAGAGAGCGGAGGAGGCACACAGAGAAACATTATACTTCAAAAGGCGGAACATACAAACCCACATTTTCTGAGCTCATCATGGTGCTGGAAGTACCCCTAAGGCATCCATAATGTGCCAATCATTTTAACACCTAGATACTGTGCAAACAGCATGAAGGCTGAGACATGACAAATGCCAGCACACCAAACTCATCTCAGGACCATACATGGCATCCTTCACAGCAGAAAGCTTTGTGCAAACTACAGAAGGTGTAGCAATTTCTCCCTTCAAAGTGCAATACAGTAAATTTGCTGCATGAAAAGGTAGCGAAATGAAAACCTAACTGAAACCACAGGTGGAATCAGGGAGGCAGAATGTCATTTTAAAAAGTAGCGACCGGCCCCAAGAGGTTAACACACGCTCCACTCAATCTACGCAAACACAAGACGCTTGAATGATCACGTGTGGACAAAGTACAAGTTTCACATGTTAAAGAAAAAGAAGTTACAACAACCCTTGGTCAGGTTTAACAGTTTAGTGACTTAATGCTGTTTTAGCCAGCTTATGTAACAGTCTTCCCCCAAGCTCCTGTTCCAGCCCTTGTTGAAAAACGGCGAGATACCAGCTCAGTCAAACTGCTTTGGAAGAACAGATTGAGCCTGTTACCTTAAACACCATTTTGACATTAAAGTGTAGCTGCAATTTCAGCTATCCTTTGCACTTCTTTCTTTGACCATACAATGTAAAGGCACCACTTCTCTTTCAACAAGGATAAAGACTTAACGTTTCCTTACCAAACCCATCATTGGGGCACTTCAAACCAGGAGAGAATCCCTGGGGAGGGCTAGGCTTGGCAACAGCCACAGCAAGGCCCGACACTCGTGAGGTTCCCTTCAGCTGCAGCATTACCCTCCTGGAGCAGAGAAAATACAAGTAAAATATTGAATTCATTAATGAAGAGTTACAATCCAAGACATGCTGATGCTGACTGATTACAGTCAAGCGTGTGATGATGCTTTTGATCAAAATAACCAACACGTCCATTTTTCTTTATCTTCTCAGAACTTGTGTAAGATTATGCATACAGCAACAAGCAGAGAACTTCAGCCACTTATTTCCTGCTCTGCCCAGGAAGAGATATGACCAATCTTAATTGCATTGTTTAATGAACTTTAGTAACTGCTACAGTGATGAACATGGCATGAGAATTTACACAGAGCAGAGCTCTTCTAACATAAAAGCAGCCCATTTAAGAAGAAATAAATTCAGGCACTAAAACACAGTAAACCCACAAATGTTTCAACCTCATATACTTCAGTGCAGTCAGGGCTTATTCTGCCATCTGCCACTTGAAAAATTACATTGGTCTTTTGGGCTCCAGTCACCCTGAAAGATAAAAACTGATGATGACTGACCTGTTGAAGAGGTTTCCATCTAGCAGTATCATGTAGGGTGGGTGTGGGCCATCAGTAAGCACCCAGTTCAGGTCCTCCTCCTTCTCAACCACATGGATCACCCCCGTATCTCCGCTGATAGAGGCTGTGGAAAGACAGCGTGCCCTTCATGTTTCACAGCGACCCACTTCCTTCATGCCCCCAAACCACCCCAGAATGGCAAAGCAGTATATTACTAAGGGCTTTAGGGAAGAACAGCTAACGGGATTAGATGGCTGGAGGAAGCAATTTGGTGAAGTGGCACCATTTAGCTAGAGCAGAACAGAAAAAGGAACAGTGGCTTTTAGGAGGGAAAGAAAAAAGCTGAACAGCATAGATTAAGAAATAAGCACTCATGCTTTGAAAGCATCTTTTGTTCAAGCATGTCAAAGCACTTAAGGACCATCAGCTAACTAAGCACCATGAGTCTCCTGTGACTGAAGGGAACAAGGGAAGAGAGCAGGAAACTGAGGCCCTGACACAGAAAGGCACTCGGAGGAGACAGGACCTGCCTCCAGGACCAGAGTCACAGAAGCAGTTTAGTGCTGCCCCTCAACAAAGGGTAAAGATTGCAAATTCAGAAACTGAGAACTCAAAGCACGAGGCCCAGAGGGGAACAAGGTGCAAAAGATTGTGCAGCAAAGGGGACTAGCAATAAAGCAGATCCACCGCTTGTCATTTCACCCCATTCCACAGAAAATGGATGACACAGAAAGCACCTTCATAAGAAGCTACTGATAAAAACAAGCACTTTGTCAACCCCCACAGTAGTAACTGCTGTCATTGTTGGAAACTGCCTGTGACCGGGAAGGCAGGATTGTGTACGGCTGTCTGCCCTAACACTAGGCTCACACAGAGGGCGGAAGAAGAGGCAGAGAACCTTGTATCCTCAGTTATCTGACAGACCAAGCACAGCTGTGCTGCCCTGTAGCGGCAGCTGACAACCTCTGCTGCAGGGAGTGGCTCACTATGGAAGCAAAACTGAATTGGAAATGAGCAAAAACGCTGACTCACACTAACTTCAGCCAGGAATACTGCCTGAATGGCATTCCCTTATCCACCTTTTAATTTTAAGTCATGCAGCCCTACCCTCCCCATTTCAATATGACAGAAAAACCTCACAGAGTTAACAAGCACTGCACAAGCAGCTCAGCCAAACCCTCAGCTTCCTTCAGATGCCACCTTCTCACTTCTTCACCTCCTGATCCCTTTCTCTCGTACCTCGTTAACTCTAATGCATTCTGCAGCGCTCACAGCTTTGCCTTGTACCCCTAGAAGCTGTGGCTTGGTTTTGTCCTGGGTCTGCACTGACTGCATAAGCTCAAAATGCATCTCTCTGCCTTACCAAGGATTTTTGAGGTCGGCAGGAACACAGTCTCTCTAAGGTCTCTACCCCTCAGTTTAGGAGAAACAGGTCAGCATATTCAGCCTTACCAGGTGGAAAAGAGGGCAAACAGCGCTGAGAACAAGGGCAATACTGATCTAGGCAAGTCCAACAGGAGAGCTGCATTACACCCCATCACCCACGGCAAGGCCATCCCCTGGAGCAGCTCTGGGGCCCCACAGCTGTACTCACACTGGCAGCCGATCTGGTGGGTGGCATTCAGGAGGCGAACGCACGGTGCCGTTTTGTTCAGGGGGATATAGATCTTCCTCTCAACAGAGTTCCCCTGGCAGGAGCCTGGGGAGAAGACACAGCCCCACCTCAGTGGGAGCCAAACCAGGGGCTCCCCACACGTTAAAAGGCTCTCCCCAACCCAGGAGGGAAAGACGAGCCCTTCCCCAACATAAAGGGGGCCAGGCGAAGGCTCCCAGTGCCGCCATCTCAAAGGGGCCA